CTTGCTATGGGATATGATCGAAGAATGTGTTTATCGACTCAACTTCCCTTCTGCAAATTTACAGTTTAAGTCCTGATTCACGTTCTTCTTGAATCTAACTTCATTTCTATTTAATTTGTCCAAGTAAGATAACCAAACGAAAAATTGATTCTCTCGCTAGTCTTAGTACTCCAAATCCACTTAAGATTTTCCCCCTGTTGAACCTCCATCTCCACTCAGTTGAAGTCTTGAAGAGTCTTCTTAAGGAATTCCCAACTTACATTATCATAGGCTTTTTGAAGATCAATTTTAGCGATCACCGTACCCTTACGACCTTTAAGATTCATCATGGAGTGGACCGCCTCCTGCACGACCAGAATATTATCCGAGGTGCTTCTTAATTTAAGATAGCTATTATGATAAGGACTGATCAATCTTTGTAAGAGAGGACACAATCGATGTACAATAATCTTGGAAAGATTTTATAAGCCGTATTTAGTAAACTAATTGGCGAAATTGAGTGATGTTATCGGCTGCGCATGTTTTGGTATAAGAAAGGAAAGTTCTTAAGATCTTAGTATCCATCTTCCCCAATTCCAATGCCATATTAGTGAAATCACAAAGAGTGTACTTGACAATATCCCAATTCCTTTCATAGTGAATAATGCTTCTTTGACCTTTTCCAATGTGACAATATCCCTAAGTATCGATATTTTTGAATGTACAAGAGGAAGAAATCGAGAAGGCTTGAAAAGTATTGAACTTTACATATATTTCGATACAAAGGGGAAAATATTGAGTATTTATAGAAAATATATCCGGTTTAGGGAAGGTAAAGTCTAGAACCATAGAAGATAAAAAAGGGTATTATTGTTGAGAATCCTTTATCCATATGATCAATAGACATTAATAGTGAAAAACCCAACTGAAATCCCAATTTGAAGAACAAATAGGTATGTTCGTGAAACTCTAGTTTGAAGTTTTTTAAATTAACCAATCATGATTTAGGAATTAGGGTATAATTTATAGGGAAAAGATGTAATATAATGAACCGATTAATGGTATAGGTTGAATAAACGGAAAAGTAGTGGGGTTAGTAAAATAAGTAGAATGCAACATTATAGGTTGAATGGAAGAAAATATAGTTGTAGATGATCGGTTAGTATAATGATCAATTATGGCTATAATCAGTTATGAAATGAAATGCATATACATTTTACAAATTGTTTAGTTGAAAAACATATCGTAAAGAATGAGAAGGATGGAGAAGAAGAAGAAGATGACATCAATGGCAGAAAAACCGTGGGAGGAAAAATGAATGACATGGGAGGTTACGACATGCCGTTTTTCTTCAAAAAGAAGAAGACTTAGAGGATCGAGAGACCAATGAGACAGAAGGAAGGTTGAATCAACCAATGCCCCCATATATGCACTTTTAGTAAGTAATCATGTATTTGTATAATACTTATTTGAATGGTGGTTTATAATCTAAAAGTATTTTAGATGTTTACATTGATGACAATTTAAAATGTTTACAGTGTGAGTGAATGCCAACGGTTGAAAGGAGTTTCTAATAAAAAGGTTGGCTATGTATGTATGTAAAATGAATTGAGAAGGTATAGAGTATAGAGATAGAGATTACAAACATTATTGATAAACAAAAGTTGATTGCAGGTGAAGAAAGAAATAGGCGGCGAAATGGAATTTGATGAGTGAAAATGAGAAAGATCATTATGTAAAATTGTTGAAGAAACAAAAAGAAGTATATAACACATGACGGAGTGCACATGAAAAGAATGTATTCTTCATACTTTCAGGATTATATAAAGTTGTAACTTGCTTTAAAAAGGTTGTGTAGAACATAACATAACAATTTGTTTGTTTTTAAATAAATGTTGGAAGCGTCGACAAGATGTAGCTTGATAAGAATGAATAAATTGTTTGAAGAGTTGAAAGGAAAGAAAAAACTGGATGTTGTTAAGGAGCTAGGATTTGAGTCTTTGATTGAAATAAAGGCACAACCAATTCGTAGGGAGTTGTGTCGAGACTTGATAGAGAATTTTAATGTAAACAACCGTAGAATCAAGTTTAGTGGATATTAATTACCACTGGGGGTTCAGGAGGTTGTAGTGGTTTTGGGGTTGAAAAATGAAGGGGTTAGTGTTGAAGAAGTATTTCAAAGGGATGATTGGAAAAAATTGAGTGTGACGTATAATATAAAGGCGAAGGTTATATTAGCTGATCTGGAAAGAGAGATAAAAAACGGGAAATATGATGGTGATCAACTGAAGGCAAGAGTGTTGTTGTACATGGTTGGGATATTTCTTTGTCCAACGGGTAATACAACCCGAACAAGCACAATTTGAAATTGCTGTGTGAGGAAGAGATAAAGGGTGAACTAAATTGGGAAAAATATGTTGCGGACAACTTTGGAACATTTTGTAGTTGTTTTCGCCTCTAAGCTCATACATTCACCGTAGATCAGACTCAAGTTGCATATGGTAAACAATAAGAATCGTTTATCATAAGTGCATAAGTCTATATATATTATATTTATGTACAGAGTAAGGATCAACATAGTTAAAGTATGGAATTGTATCTTTAATACAACATTTCAATTTATGTTCCCTTTTACGATATCGATACATTTCATGATTAATCTGAGCCGGTTTACTTCGAATGTTGAGATAGTATACTATACTACCAATGTATTGATACATTTTATATAGGTATCGATACATTTTCAAATTAATCCAAAGTTCACCAGATTACTGGTTCAACGAAGATTGATGCTTCAAAACCTATTATGCATAGATACAAGTTGATCATGGTACAAGAGAGACACACTAATACTACTTTAATTTAACTTACATACACTCAAAAATTGGTTTAAGAACCATCCAAATTGTCGCCATTAGACTTACACAAATCTTGCAAAACAGTACACCAATAACAAAAACAAGTCTCTAACTATAACATTATAGGTAGCACATTCTTTAATTGTCAACCGTTTACGTTAAATGTTAGTAATATATTTGAATTTGAAATGTATCGATATGCATATCATACGTATCAACCTTTTATAATTTGAATATTTATTTAAAATTAAAGTTAATTATAATATACTAAAACTTCTTAAGGAACTTCTGATACAATAAATTTTGATTGGTTGTGCACGTAATTTTCGAAAGAATGTGTTGATACTTTTATGATTAGTATCGATTTTAATATAACAAACCAGATACCGTGTAAGTTATATATACGAAACATGTTTCATTAAATATATGGAAAGCAAAATAGGGTTATATTTATAACACTACAGGTAATGCCTTCTTATAGTGTCGACCGTTTACTTGATATGTTTGAAACCTTTATTATTAAGAAACTGTTATAGAAAACAGGTTTAAATTTATAACAATATATGTAACACCTTTTTATATTGTCAACCGTTTAAGTTATATGTGCAAAACTTGTTTTATTATGGTTATGTAAGACAAAACAAGGTTATATTTATAACAATACAAGTAGCGCCTTTTTATGGTGTCAACCAATTACGTGATAGGTTCGAAACCATTTTTACTAATACACTGTAAAAAAACATGTTAAAATATATAACAATGCAGGTAGCGCCTTCTTATATTGTCAACCGTTTAAGTTATATGTGTGAAAACTTTTCCATTATGATTATGTAAGACAAAACATAATTATATTTATAATAATATAAGTAGCGCCTTCCTATATTGTCAACTGTTTAGGTTATAGGGAACAACCCATTGATATTATTAAATTTAATATAAATATAGTTTTTACTATAATGTAATAGGTTTCTATTCAGTACATCCAATATTAAATACATAAATATCGATAATTTTGAAATGATTTAAATTTTGTTGTTTTCATTGGAAATTTGAAATATTTGCTCTTTCTGCCCATTACCTCTCTCCTGCCCATTACCTCTCTCCTGCCCGATATACTCTCTCCCTTTAACGTGACGTTGCATATACACAAAAAATTATAGTCTTTTCCCGACATTAGTTTTTCTCCCAGCCGATTATGCACGAGAGCAATCTCTCTCTATAATTTTTACAAGATATCCATAGCTTTATGCTGCAACACATAAATTGGAAGTTTTTTAGAAGAATTCCAGGTATTGTTTACGGTTTACACTTTACGATTTAGGATGGCAAGCTTGTCGTTGTTTTATAAGATTATGGTTGTGGATATATATGTTGTAATAATTTTTTCACTTTTGTCTTACAGGATATCTATACCATTCTGCAAAACATGCATTGCAATTGTAACACTAAGGAAAACATGTGCCTGTGTAACAGTAAATGTTCCATTTCATACACAGTAAAGATTCATTTCTTTCTTACTTTCCCGTGAACTCTGAGGAACACAATCAAGATTACATGACTTGATCAATCAAATTATGACTTTCCTGTGAACCTAGTTTAGCTTTGATGTACATCGTGCATGTGAGTAAAAGCTTGTCAAGATTCTTCAATTGCATAGAAACTAAATTTGTAATTTATCAAAATTTTCACACGAAAGTATCGGCACTCTAACCATTTGTATCTATTTTTAAAATTTCCATTTCATATCATCAATATTTTTTAACAAAAATTATCGACCCTTATGATGCAATGTTTCGATAGTATATATATATATAATATTCTTAAATAAAAATACCGAATTTCGTATATAAGTAACAATATTTTAAACTTCGAATGTAATTTAAACGTCCACATTTAGGGGTGAGCAAAATTCGACTCGATTCGAAAAATCGTTTTTTCAATTTCAAGTTATTTGAGTCGAGTTATTCGAGTCAACTCAAAATATTAATTTGATTTTCGAGTTCGAGTCGAGTTCAGATTTAGCCAACTCGAAAAACTAAAATTCAAAATGACATCGTTTTGATATTTAAGTTTCATTGCATTAAACTACGTCGTTTAGTTTTTATTTCTCAAATCTGTTTTTCAGTTCTTTTGCAGTACATCCAGGTCCAGCAAAAACAAGCACGTATCCACCCACCAAAGTCAAAATCTTTAGTTTTCATCGTGCGTCTTCTTCGATCTTCAGCTCTTCCATGATTCCATGATGGAATGACTTTATTTAGCAGAAAGTGAAGATTTTCAATCATCGGAAACAGTTCGTTAGCAGGCGCAGCATCATAGCAGAATTCCCAAATCAATTAGATATTTCTTCATTAGAGGTTTGTTTCTCTTAATTCCCTTCCTTTCTTTGTAAGTCTCGTATTTTTTGGTTGATTTATTATTAATGTTGTCGGCTTGTTGTTGTTAATTTATTCCCAAATCAATTAGCACTTTTGTTTAAGTGAGCTTCATCAATCCAATATAGATAATCTTAGGTCTTGGTAATGGTGGGGGGATTGAACCAATAAAAATGGTTTCCACTTTATTGATTTCCATATTTCTTTATCAAGTTTCTTGGATTGATGAGGTAAACTCTCACGATAAGCCTAGTGCTATTGAGGTTGAAGGCCAAAGCATAATTGGATCTATTGATACTGTTGGGGCTCATCTCATCCATAATGCTTTGTAATATTATAGAGTAGAGTGAGTGCTCCATAATGATGTCGAGGAAGGTAAAATTGATTGAATTATTTTCTCCCTGTGCTTGTTTGTATATATGTAGGATATTTTATTTTGTTGTTTGGTTTGTAATATAGAAATCTTTTGTACTCAAAATATTGTTTACTTTTAACATTCTTTAAAATCGCTACATATGATAAATATTTCCGTCTAAACTAAGATACCTTCAACAGTAACCTTATTAAATAATAAATTACAAAGTGAAATGCTTAATCTTTTAACTGCATCTGCTAGAGGGCATGTAAGCTTAATAGCAGTAGAGACAAACAATCTGCTTTTAACTCGTGACTTTCTTTTTAAAGTTACATATAATTTATTTTGCATCTCAATTGTGGTATTATATTTTGAGATCTTGTATGAAATTTGGATGTTATCAGAATGACTTTCTTTTTAGAATGACATGAAACTATTTCCTCGTATGACATTTGGATGTTATTAGAATGACTTTCTTTTAATGGTTGCTTTCTTTTATGGAGTTGTTAATATATTATATTTTGATATTGTAGATTAATGAATCACAAGGGACACAAAGCTCACAATCATGCTGTAATAGTTCAACTCAAAGTTCATAATGTTCTTCTACATGTGAAGTCAATGCTCCAAAGAGTAATAAAGGTGTTCGAAAGAAACAAAAACCAATAGCAGCATGCTGGAATCATTCCAAAAAATATGTAGTTGAAGATGGGGAGGATAGGGCAAGATGCAATTATTGTGACACGACTTACTGCATGGAAACTGGGAGTTCTACAACCAGTCTGAATAATCATTTGAAGGTATGCTTAAAAAAACCTCGAAAGTGACCTCGAAATAACAATACTTCAGACTGACCACGAACGTGAAGCGACAAAACTTTCAACTTGGAAGTTTGAAGAAGAGGCTATTAGAAAGGTGTTGATTCACATGATAATCGTGGATGGGCTACCATTTCGAATTGTAGAGGGGAGAAGGGTTTAAGTCATTTATTTCTTTAACATGCACAAGGTTTCATCTCCCTTCTAGTTTTACAATTAGGAGGGATTGTCTTGATTTATTCAACTGCATGAAGAAGTTAATGAAGAATGCTTTTGGAAAAGATACAAGTAGAATTTGTTTGACAACTGACACTTGGACTTCACTACAAAGGGTATCTTGCATGGTTCTACCGGCAGATTGGATAGATGATGAATGGATGTTGCAAAAGATAATCATAAGCTTTTGTCCGATATATGCTCATAGAGGTGAAAGCATAGGTCAAACTCTTGAAAAGTGCATCCGATATTAGGGGATTGAGAGGGTTTTCACTGTTACAGTTGATAATGCATCTGCTAATGGTGTTGGTATTGAATATCTGAGAAAGAAATTGAACCATCGAAATACTTGTGTTGCAAGTGGGAAATATATGCATATGAGTTGTGTTGCACACATTATTAATCTCATCGTTCAAGAAGGTGTTAAGTATGCTTATGTGTCTGTTAATCGAGTTAGAGCTGCTGTGAGATACATAATGGCATCACCATCAAGAAGGAAAAATTTCTATGATCAGGTAAAAAGAAGAAATGATAGATACTAAAGCTCATTTGCATTTAGATGTGCCTACTAGATGAAACTCAACGTATATAGTGTTGAAGGTGGTTGAAAAATATGAGCATGCATTTGATTCATATGCTTAGGATGATAATGGCTTTTTTCTCGACCTCACAGTTGGAGATGGAGTCCATACATTTAATGATTGGGAAAATGTTCGAAGAATTATAAAAGTCTTTTTATGATCTTACATTGAAGGTGTCCTGATCATTGCATGTCACTTCTCATTTCTTTTAGGAAACATTGATAGACATGCATTGTTTACTTGATGGATGGATGGATTGTGGAGACTTAGAAATAATTTCCATGGCTTAAAAAATGAGGGAGAAGTACAACAAGTATTAGAGAAATGTCAAGAATATCAACTTCATAGTTTACATAGCCATTATCTTAGATCCACGATGAAAAAGGGGCTTTGTGAATTTTGGTGTACACTTGCTTTTTCCTAATGTTGCTAGCGAGGTTATGAAGATGATTGATAAAGAATTGCATCGTTTGTTTTGATGAATATTCTTTCATTTTCAGGAGAACCGTGAGCCATGAAGGTCAATAAAATAGTCTGACATAATTGTCCATGTTTATGGACTAACATCAATCAAAGGCGAGTTTGGCCATGCAACAATATTTGTTGAAGAAACAAGTTGGTTTGGAACAAAATTCTGAGTTGGATAAATATTTAGTTGAGGAGGAAGATGAAAGCAACTCGAGTTCATTTGGTTTATTATTGTGGTGGAAAGTGAATAGTCCAAGATACCTTGTTCTTGCACAAATAGCTCAAGATGTTTTTTTATTCATATATCGACAGTTGCCACAGAAAGTGCATTCAACACCGATGGACGTGTTTTAGATGGTTTTAGAAGTTCATTAACTCCGACAATGGTTGAAGCTTTGATTTGCATCAGGATTGGCTTCGAAAATCTAAGGATCCCATCAATCTTGACGAGCATGTTGTAGAACTTCAAGACATGGAAGATCATAATATTTAGTTTTGATTCGTAATGTTAATTTTTTATTTCATTTATATTATAAGTTTACTTATAATTTAACTAACATATTTGTTTTTATCTTTTTTAGATTTATCAAAAATAGTAGATAACAAAGAAGCTTTTTCAAAGCTACCGACAATGCATAAAGAAGAAGCGGAAGTCTAAGGTTTTCGACAATATAATTCGAGAACTCAGGTAGTTTGTTGTAATTGACTTTTTAAACTATCACCTCTTTGTTTTTTTTGTATCATCGTGTGATGCTGGATTTTCTAAACTCTATTATGTAATTGTTCAATTTAGTTATTAATATATTTCGGGCCATTTCTTTCCTCATTCTGATATCTTTAGTTTTGCTTCGACATGACTTGGATAAGAAGGGGTTTAATGAGACCTGTTTTTTAATGAAAAAAATATTATTTTATAGAGAAATTTGAATAACTCAACTCGAAAAAATTTCAAGTCAACTTCGAGTTGTAAAATAGGACTAATCAACTTTGGATAAGAAGGGGTTTTAATGAGACCTGTTTTTAATGAAAAAAATATATTTTATAGAGTTTTTAATGAAAAAAATATTATTTTATAGAGAAATTTGAATAACTCAACTCGAAAAAATTTCAAGTCAACTTCGAGTTGTAAAATAGGACTAATCAACTAGAATAACTTGAAATTTTTTTACTCGACTTGACTCGGTCAAACGCTCAGCCCTATCCACATTAATTGAAAGTGTCGATCATCATGCATTAAGTATCGATATTTAAAAGATCGACCTGCTTTATTGTATTATTATAAAGTATTAAAAAATCTAGTTGCTTGAGTAATGTATCCAGCTTCACCTTCGTGTTATTTTAACTGGGTAAGTTATAAGATGCCACTGTGTATATTATGAAAACATTACACAAACCTGGTTTGTTGGATAACATTATTGGTTGTACCTTCTGATAATTGGTTAACTTATAGGCTTATTATGAAAACGTAAAGCAAACCTAATTTCCTGGGTAACATTATAGGTTGCGCCTGTTTGTTATGTTAATTGGTTAAGTTATATACTGAAATCGTATACATTATGAAAAGTAATAGAAACTTGTTAAGTTATAAGGCAAAGATTTCCTGGGTAACCCAAAGTCTATAAATAGGATCTTCTTCCTCCCTTGTCCCCTCCTCACAAACAAAATTAAATTTCCTTTCCAATCATCATTTCTTTTCCGATGGTGCTTCTTTGTTTCCTCTTATGCTATTTCTTATTATGCATGGATTCCATAAGACATCCTCTTATAGTGGCATGAACACAACTACTACTTATAAAGAGATCCTCTTTTGGTTCCACGAAACCTATCATAACTCTTATGTATACTACAAATAATGTCGTATACAGTTTCATGTTTCTACATGATTACTCTATTTGTGAATCTAGAGGTGTTGTTTTCTTTAAAGACACTTTTCCTCTAAAGAAGCCTATATTAATTGTAGAAACACAAATAGAAAAAAATGACATTCACTTCTTCTTGCGTACTTTCTAGGACTTTTCAAGAGATGGAATTTGAGCCTAGAAGAAGTAAAGGAAAAATAGTAGAAACCTCTTTTGGACCAGATTTTATAACTTCCTTTATTTCTAAGATAAATGCTTTAGACACCATATCTGATCCTATAGCTTAAGTCTTTCTGTTAGATGATGATCCTAAGACTTATGAGAAAGCTATAAGATCCATTGATGATAGTTTCTTGAAAAACACTATTAATGATGAACTAAAATCAATAATGTCTAATCATACTTAGAAATTAGTTGACTTACCTAGAGGATTTAAAACCTATCAGTAATAAATGGGTTTTCTGGAAGAAACTCAGACTAAATAGGCCAATCTAAAGGTACAAGGCAAGGCTATTCGTCAAAGGGTTCGCTCAAAAATTTGATTTAGACTTTTTTGATGCTTACTCTCTCGTAACAAAAATCTCAACGATCCGTGCATTATTTGCACTAGCCTCTATTCATAAGTTTCAAGTACATCAAATGGATGTAAAGCCTGTATTTTTTAATGGAGATCTAGATAAGGAGATCTATATGGAGCAGCCTCTAGGTTTTGAGGCACCTGGTATGGAAGGCAAAGTTTGTAGACTTAAAAAGTTTTTTTATGGCCTTAAGCAAGCTCCTAAACAGTGGTATGAGAAATTTCACAAAACTATCCTTAGTTTTGGTTTTGTTGTGAATGGTTCGAATGCATACATGTATTCGATGATATTAGATACTGATTACATCATCATAAGTTTATATGTTGATGGCATGTTGATTTTTAATAGTAACATTGAGTCTATTAACAAAACAAAAAGTTTCTTATCCGCTAAGTTTGAGATGACCGATTTGGGAGAAGTTGATGTAATCTTAGGACTTAAAGTTACCAAAACTGAAAAGGCATTTTATTTAAATAAAACACATTATATTGAGAAAGTGTTAAAGAAATTTGACAGTTTTGATGTTGTCCCTGTTTGAACTCCCTATGACCCTAGCGTACATCTCTTTAAAAATAAAGGAAATAATGTTTCTCAATAGAATATGCTAAGATAATTGAAAGCCTAATGTTCTTAATGAACTATACTCGGCCTGACATTGCCTACGATGTGAGCATACTCAGTATATACACTTATAACCCAAGTAATGAACATTGAGTTGCTTTTAGATGCTTACTTTAGTACCTTAAGGGTACAATAAATTGGAAACTTGAGTTTGTTGGTTATCCTACGGTTTTAGAAGGATATTGTGATGCCAACTGTGTTTCTGATAATGATGAGGTAAGCCTTACGAATGGGTATATTTTTACGTTAGGTGGAGCAGCGATCTCGTGGAAGATTGTGAAGAAAACATGTATTGCTTGTTCTACTATTGAGTCAAAGTTTATAGCTCTTGACTTACATGGGAAAGAAGTCGAGTGGATTAGAAATTTATTAGCAAAAATTCTGTTGTGGGGAAGATTGACTCTTCTAGTATCTTTATTGTGTGATTCACAAGCTGCTATATGTGTGGCTAAGAACCAAACTTACAATGGTAAGAAAAGGCACATTCATATAAGGCATGAATCTATTAGACACTTAACAAGGAATAGAGTACTCTCTTTAGAGAATGTTAAGTCAGAAAGGAACCTAGCAGATCCTCTTACCAAAGGGTTAAGTAGGAAATTGTTCCTAGATTCTTCGAGGGGGATGTGTTTAAAGCCCATTGGTTGAGGAATTCATGGTGGATACCCAACTTAGTTATCTAAGTTCAATGTGGTCAAACAAAGCCAAGGAAAGACTCATAATGTATATTTTTACCTACCTATCCCTATGACGAACAAAATACATGCACAAGATGAGTTTGATTGCTCTTAATAAATTCATAGCCCAAAGTTTGGGTGGTCTTAGTGAGAAGGACATATTGAATTCACCAATTAATGAGGTTTAATATTTATTCTTAATGATTTCTTATATCAGAGTTTAGGTGGTTCATTTAAAATAAATTTGAAGAAAGTCACCATAACTGTTGAGACGTTGAGTTATTGTAAAAGCTCTTAATTATTTAATAGCATGATTTTAAGGTGGTTTATGTTGAGATAAACTTGATGAAATAATCTATATAAGTGAGAAGGATTAGCCACATTCAATGAAAAAATTGGGCTAGTTTTCTAGTACACTTACTAAAATCTTGAGGTAAGATGACCAAATATATACTTTCGTGTGTGTATATATATATATTACACATCGAGGGCTTTGATGAATGAAGGGGTTAGTTGTGTGTTATGAGTTTACCTCTATCTTAGAAAGTTCAAGACTGGTTTCACTTATCTAAGAGAAGGATTGCTCATCATCACAATGTACTAGTTCAAGATATGTTCACTAGTGCTTAAGCAACTAATCTTGCTATTGCTCTTCTCTAAAAGTTATCTTTCGAGTTTCAGAAGAATTCTTTCGTATTAGTGGGGGAATGTTGGTAATGCTTTAGACACTATCCCACATTGAGTGGGAAATACCATTTGCAAAGGTATTTATAGTGTTTATTCTTCCCTCCCTTGTTGAGTGATAGAGAACAAGGGACCATCTCATGTGTCACTGCCGTCGCCGTCTCGACTCATGGCGTGGCTTGATAATATGTGTCTTCGACATATCTGCGCACATACTATCTTTTTGGAGAAAATTCGTAGAAATTTTATGGGCAAATAAAGCTTTCTAAGCTTACTTTATTTTTGGTGCTAAGAGAAGAGCAGTACCGTTGCAGTTCACTCCAGTTTAGAGCGACCGTGTTAACCTTTGAGGACGATCCGCCTAAATAACGATTACACACATTGAGGCGAATTTGTTTCTAAGTGGTTTCACCATGACACAGTTCAAATTTTCTATTCAACTATTTATATTTAAATTGTCTTGTTAGTATTAAAGGTGTGGTTTCGCAGTATACATATTTCCATCAAATGATGCCAATATTCTTGGCCTACCATTTGGGTTGATATTCTACTACAAAAAAAAGGAGTTGATGGACGAGAAGGTGATTGCTAAATTGGTCAATACTGCTTTTACTGCTTACAGTCATTTCCTTTTGTTCTCAAGAACCGTCTTACACAGAGAAGCGGATACCTCTCCATCAATGCTCCTGTTTTCCGACTTAAAGAATTTGTTATGATTGGAAAGGAATAAGGAGGAAAAGGTTATTCCACAACATCTTTCAGATTTCTCCATTTGTCTGAAAGACAGTATTAGATTGCTCGTAGAAAAAGTGGACTATGCTCATCTTACAAAAATGCAGTTTAAGGTTGGGATGAAGTTATTCTCTTTTATTTGGGGACAATCCTAAACTTGTGTTCCATTTAATTAAGAACTCTCTCAATTGGAACAGCATAAACTCTGGGGCTTCATCAGATCTGAGCTTTCAGTTGAGATGATCATTTTAGAATCTGGGGAGATAGATGGAAACCTACACCAGACCTTGTTGGCACAATCATGTCATTACCTAATAATTTCTT